CCAACTTTCCCCCCCCCCCCAAACACACACAAAAAAACCATGGTAGTAAACATTATGAGTGCATTTGGAGTTTTCGTTGGTGCACTATTTAGAAGAATTTCTGGGCTTTCTGGAAGATTGAACTATGTGCATGGCGCTGTAAGTAAAAGTATTTTTTCACAAAATAGTACCAAGTGGGTACTGCAAAGGTTTACAAGATGTTACAGCTATTCTTCACTTTCAAAAAAGAGTTAAAAATAGATTCTTTATAGCTTTTACATAATTCTTTGTTACACAACAATATGAAACCCCGAGATATATTTCAAGCTGTATATTCCCTCTGATACCCCTTCGGAGTTTTTTTTTCCTTCCACAGCAACCACAAAATGCTTAGATTAGCTGTCTTGGAAAACGCCTTAACACTCTTTATGAACTAGAGAGCCTCTCCAATTGCAAAGATAGTCACTCACAGTTCTTCTGATTGGCCAGATGGAAACGTCGTGTTTCATCAGTTCATCGGTCACGTCAGATGCAAAAACAAATAATTGACAGATTCTTCAATTCTTTCACGCACGAATCACTTATTACACCAATTTTGCCCCCTGTTCTCTTGTCATTGTCGTCTATAATTGATACGCATGCTGCTTTAATCCTTGTGTTTCCCTGTGGAAAGCTTTTGCAGTTGAATTTTTCCCAAGGCTAAGTCTCGTCTTTCAAAAATCTTAATTACAAACAAAACCTCTTGGTTTCATTAGGTTTCGCTATGTTTGCATCTTATGTTTGTGAGTCTGCAAAACGTTTTCAAGAACTTAAAAAGGTGCAGATACTACATTTTCTTTATCCTTTCTAGTTCCTGGCAAGAATGTGCGCGGTATACCATAAGAGTAACTATTATATTCAGGTTCCTGCTAGATCTACTTTCTTTCAGCTTTATGTTAGTGGACGTCCTCGTCAATAAAAGAAAGAATGAGAAGAAGCGAGATCTTTATCATTGATCCTTTTTTCCTGATGAGGTGATCCTAGCCTAAGTATATGGAAGAAAAGATTGTTCCGTTTTTACTGAAACTCACCTTGCCTTGCAGCTTTGGGATATAAATATGGATTCTGGTCCAGTTTCAACTTTTCAGGTTCATGAATATTTGAGACCAAAGGTGAATTTCTTTCTCCCAAAATTAGGTGCTTGTGCTTGGTTAGTTTCTATTTGCGTCTGGGCTGATTAGTAATTATTATGTTGCTCTGCAGTTATGTGATTTATACGAGAATGATTCCATCTTTGATAAATTCGAATGTTGCCTTAGCGGTGACGGTTTGCGAGTAGCAACTGGATCTTATAGGTGTGTAGACTTATTTTTTCAGTTTTTATTTTCTTTCCTTTTATTTCTCCACCACGGTGATGTATTACTCAACATAATTTATGCGATTTCAGCAACCTTTTCCGTGTGTTTGGTTGTGCTGCGGGGAACACGGAAGCAACTACATTAGAAGCAAGCAAAAACCCCATGAGGTACCTGTATTAAAAGTTTCTTCGGCATGTATACTTATTTGGATATATCGTAATGTCATGGCTTTTGATGACTTTGATTATTCTCCTTTAGAAGACAAGTCCAGACCCCTTCGAGGCCTTCCAGATCCTTGAGCAGCAGTATAACGCGTGTTGTCAGGAGAGGTATGCTTTTCTAGATGCAGATATATAGTTTCTCATATATCTCAGTATATATGTTATCTATATTTGAATTTTTGCCCCAACAGTTTGAAATAAATTTGAATTTTTATGATATGCATTCCAGGAGCAGAAAGTCCAGCAGTTGATGCTAATGGAAACTCATTTGATTTCACAACCAAACTGCTCCATCTCGCATGGCATCCATCTGAAAATTCAATTGCATGTGCTGCTGCAAACAGCTTGTATATGTACTATGCATAAAATGAGGTTGCAGTTTCCTGGAGTTGCTTTTTCAGAAGGCTTTATTTCGAATCAACTTGAGGTTCTGCCATTTCGCACTTCCAGAATCAATGCCGACGTATATTACATGCTCTTAATGTTAAGGTCCACTGCTCAAAGAATGGACAATCTAGCAACTTATTTGTCAATAGCCATGCATTCTTGCTCTCTTCTTCCCATTTTCTGCTTCACCCTTCTCTAAATTTCCTATTCATTGGGTTGACATCAGGAGAGATCTCATTGTAGTTCCCCCACAAGCAAAACTGATGGATGTGAAAAAATTGTCACTAGATCTTAGGTAAATGCAGTTTTGCTCGAAATCTTGCTGGAAAGGACCTGCTGGCTAACTTGCAGAGCGTTAAACTAACTTTATTGGATAGAATTATTTTTTGTAGGATAATTTAATGGCTTTTTGTTATAGGTTATTGACTAAAGTAGTTCTCTTTTTCTTTTTTCTTTTTTTTTCCTGTAAAAGAAGTTCAAGGGCACTGGCATTTATTTCCCTGTATTTTTTTCTTTGGTAAAGCGAAGCTGGCACTGCCAACTTTTCTATTAGGTTACTTGTGCATTTTATTAGGTTGAGGTTGGTGCTTTTTTTTTTGGTACTTTTATTCTGCTGCTGGAGCCATGTAATGGAACTAAACCTGCATGATCTAGCTAACATTTTTCACACTGCTGTGTATGGCAACCATATAACGCTTCCCCACAGCTGGATGCCTCATCTTCTCTCTGAAAACGATACCATTGTACTACTCCCTTATGCTAACATTCTTTAATGCATAAGGAGAGGCCATTGTGGTTCTCCTGCAAGCAGTTCTTCGGTCGTCAGTGAAGATTTAGGTTACTTGTGCTTATGATGGTTAATGTCTTGTGTGCACGCATGTTTGTCCTCGTAGGAAGAGCAACAGAGAATTTTGACTTGTTCTTTCTTGATATGGCTATTCTTATAAATATGTTGGCACAATGTGATTGAGATAAGTGATGATATCTGCGTTCTTTATGGAATGAAATTACGTGTGACTGAGTAGCAGCATACTATATATAGCTGATGCAGAGAAAAAAGTTGATCAACATGTTTCCTTGTGAATAGATGGATCACTTCGGCTGGGAGGGTGGTGGATAATTTCTTGGTAAGTTTCTCCATCTCGTCCAAACGGACCCTAGTTAGGCTCTGCTCATTTCTGTGCTGGTTTCAGACGACAGAGATGAAGCAAACACACGTTGGAAAAGAATCCCAAGCGGATCAGCGTGCAAGTACAACAACAACAATCCAGTATAATCCCATTTAGAGGCTGTTTCCAAATAGACCCTCCAAGAACTTATCACCTTGCTCTTGGGGAGACTCAAACTCACAACCTCTTGATTGGAAGTGGAGTTAGCTTACCATCAGAGCAATCCCTCTTGTCGATCAGCGTGCAAGCATTTTGTCAGAAATGATTTCATTCATGGTTGTGGACTTGTGCAAATTGGCCAAGGCAACGCTAATTGAGGCGTGTTCCATGCGGATTTGAAACTGACCCTTGACATGACCGCTGCACTCCATTATTTCTCACTTTCTTCTTCTTGGCATACACATTTATTAACAAGTAAAAAGGCAGCTCGGCGTACTAAGCGTTAGATCACAAGAGTCTATTTTATGCAGCCTTATCCTGTATTTCTGCAAAATGTTTTCACGGCTTTGTGTCCTTCTGGTTGCATGGCAACAACTTTACCAGTTACGCTAAAGCTATATTTAACAAGTAATTCAACGCAATTTAATTTAATGAGTTTGACCTTTAAGACTTTTAGTATTTAACTTATTATATTTTTAAATTATGAGTTCAGATTTAATATTTGTCGACATTTAGTGAAATTTCACATGAATCCATTATCCAAAGGTTAGATCTGCCCATAGCTCAATCTTTGTACGACAAAATGACACAAACGATGACGAACATATTTTCAAGATGCCCTTTGTATTTTCTCCCCTTCCTAGAAGGATTATTCATTGAATATTAAGCACAATGCTTTACGCATGTTAATCACCCCTATTTTTGCCATCCCCTCCAAATTTTGATGCTTGAATTGATGTCAATCGATCAATCAATGACATCTCAATTTTAAATTAATTATTTTTTTATACTTATGTGAGTATGTGACCAATCAGATCTATTTTCTTCTAGAACTAAATAATTTTATTTTTTTGGAGTTCTCTACTATGGTAATCTGTTAAAATAATAATACAACTCAGAAAGAAAAAAATGGAGAATAAGGGTGTGTTTGGTACGAAGAAAAATATTTTCCGGATTTTTTTCTTCCAATTTTTGGTTGCTTTGTCAAGAGAAGGGAAAACACTTTCCAAAACTCTTTTTCAACCTTCCCATTAGGGGTGTACATAAGTCGGGTTGATTTGGATTTTACAATTACCAAACCAAACCAAACCAATTTTGTCGGGTTATTAAATCTAAAAACCAAACCAAATCAATAAAATTCGGGTTTTTCACTCTCGGATTTTCTCGGGTTTTCAGGTTATTCGGGTTTTCTCGGATTTTTTCCCCGGTAAAATCTTCGTAGAACAAAACATATAAATTGTGCTCAAAATATTTCTTTAACCCTAATAAGATACAACTATATAAAGTATTTTCCAAAAAAATAATACGAAATATGAGATATACCATGGCATTATCCTAAAATATTCTACAATAAAGACAATAAAATTATGTAATATGAATATTGCTAATTAAAAAGACATAATAAAAATAAGCATAATCTAAAAGTACTAAGTCATGCTAAAATAAGTAGACTAATAAGGGAGTATTATTTACATGACTAAACATTAAAGAAAAAATAAAAATAGGTTATGCATTTTTATCTAAATTATTACAAAACAAAAAATAGATATTCAATATATTCCTATTCGTAGTATTGAATTGAATGTCTTTTGTTAACATTAGTATTGATTTGATTTGGTTTGAGTTTTTGTTAGCATTATTTAATTTACTAATATTACTGGCTATAAAACTTATTGGAATATTCAAAAGTTCTAAGTTCAACCTTGAAATAATACTTTAAAAAATAAAATTATGAAATTTTTTAAGAAATATTTATAAATTACATCACAATAAGTATATTTATATATTAAATATATCTAGAATTTCTATATATGTAATGTCGGGTTGGTTTGATTTCGGTTTGACTTTCTTTAGTTAAAGCCAAACCAAACCAATTATGGTCGGGTTTTTTTTCCAACACCAAAGCAAATCAAACCAAATCATAGTCGGATTTTTTTTTCTCGATTCGACTAGAGTTATCGGGTTGGTGTGGTTTGTCGGTTTTCTTTGTACGCCCCTACTTCTCATCCTATTCACCATCCCCTTGACTTGGGAGAAGGGGTGGGGAGAGTAGAATAAAAAATTATTTTTCTAAAAAATAGAGTATTTTCTACTCTCTAATCAAACACTAGAAAATTATTTTTTGAAGTATTTTTTTCACTCACCAACCAAACAAGGGAAATAAATGATAAAATCACTCATTTTTTCAGAAAATATTTTCTAAAAAAATATATTCCTTCATACCAAAAACACCCTAAGAAACAGGTTAATATGGAGGCTAGGACCCTGTTTATGATAAAGGAGAAGAAAAGGAAGAAGCAGAAATTTAATATTTTAGCATCGACCGTCAATCGTCATACTTTCCATTAGAAAGGAAAAAATTAGAGTGGCATTATAACCCGGTAACAAAAATATAAATTTCCTTCGCAACTAGTTTGGATTGTTGTTACATGTCATTTCATAATGTATCGTATTGTATTGCACTGCATTATATTGTATTGTATTGTTTGATGAATACAACGTTTGGATAGATTGTATCATTTACTGTTGCTTCATAATGTCTTGCACCAACAACATGAAGAAAAAACTTGCAATATTACTAAGAAAAATAGAATACGGTGTAAAATTATTATATAAAAAAGTAGGGTAAACGATAAAATATGATTATTTAATAATAAGAAAGGGCAAAGAAAAAAAAGTAAGGTAACGACACCACCATATTGAATTTGTCGTTCCATAAAATGATACTTTTCATCGTTTTTTCATCGTTACATAACGATGAATTGAGTGATACGATACACTGAAATCTTTTAGTTGGAGACTTGGAGTACTTTTTTTTAAGAGAGCAGGCCTAATATGATCACTTGTTTGAGGTTCGTAAACATATTGATGACAAGAATTGACCTTTTGTCTCTTTGTTTGAAATTTAATAACGTTAATTTCGTTGACAGATTGGCTGTTGCTTTTCTCTTGCCAAGAGTGGAAGAATGTAATTATTCTAAAGTTTTGCTTAGGGTCATTTTTTTCAAGTAAATTTAAATTTATCATTTAAACTTTAATATTGGGGTTGAAATGCGATTCTAAGAGTTGGAATAACTCCGTTATGTCATTTGAAACTTGTCTGTAAAATTTGATATCATTCCGAATTGATTTAATAGATTTCGGCGCGAGTTTTAGAAGTTGGAAGTAGCCCGAAGACATCGTACCTCCAAAACTTTCTATGGGGATAAACTCCCCAACCAAACATATTTGGAGAAAAATTACAATAAAATAATCCACTGGCGATTGCACAAAATGAGTAATCTTCAACTTAGAGAGCTACAAATTTTAAATGTAGCTACAAATAAAAAAGGAAAGAGAATGCAAAAATGTTATGATTGCACAGAATAATTACAGTTCTTCTCAAGATTAAAAAAGGGACTTGAAATAAAGAGAAATTAAAACAAATTCAAAGTAACCTACAATTTATATATATTTTAATTAACTTGTCTGGTTAAATTATATACTTATTTTCTTATTAACTTTCTTTGTCTGGTAAAATCGCAAACGAAATAATCTGTTGTTTTTCTTTATAAGGCATTTTCATCATTTTGATTCAATTTTTTCAATGGTGCTAAGTTAAAGGTACTACCTCGTTAAATCTTCTCGAGCTACATAAGGCAGGGGTGAATTTTGCGTATGTATTATCCTTCCTAAATTTTACTTGTGAAATTATATTGAGTATGTTATTGCTATTTTACCTGATTAATTCAGTATCATTTTGTTCAATTTGACATCATAACATTCTTTTGCAACCGAAAAAAGTTTGACCAAAGAGGGTTGTAAGTTCGAGCCACCCCAAAAGCAAGGTGGGAAATTCTTGGAGGGAGGGATGCCGAGTGTTTATCGGAAACGACCTCTCTATCCCAAAGTAGAGGTAGGGTCCACATACACACTACCCTTCCCAGACCCCACTAGTGAGATTATACTGGGTTGTTGTTGTTGTTGTTGTTATTGTTGTTGTTGTATTAGGGCTGTGCACAGATCGGATTTAGCACATTTCAGATTCGGATTTCGGATTCTAGAAAATGCAATCCGAATCTAATCCGAATTATATCGGATCATATCGGATTTTAAAGTTTGGGTCGGATTGGATTTCGGATCGTATTATTATGCCTCAAAGTTGCAAACTAATATGTATATTTTCTTTGTAAAAGAGGCAATACATTAAGAAAAATTCATGTTTATGCAATTATGAGAGTACTATGGTGCCAATATAGCTAAATCTAGCAATTGTAAAGGTAATAACTTGGAGGAAGATGTAAAGGAAGTACTGACTATCCGAAAATAAAAGTGTAGTATTTATACATTGCCTAACAATTTCGAATTTCGGATCGGATAAAATATACTAATCCAAATCCGATCCGAAATTCAAAATTTTAATAAACACAATCCGAAATCCGATCCAATCCGAAATCCAAAATTGAATGGATCGGTTCGGATTTCCGATTAGAATGAACAGCCCTACATTGTATTACAAATTATTAAAAAATGTTATCGAGGGGATAAAGGGAAATTTGTCCTTTATCTACTCCAAATCCAACTTTTAAAAAATGCTGCAAGCAATAACACTCTGTAGTCTGTACTCCCAATTCCAATTTCCATAAGCCTAACGAACCAAAGAGAAGAGAATATATATATATNTTCACGCGGAATTGCTTAGTTCATTCACATTATTCATTCAACTGACATCCATTTATCTGCTACCATCATTGAGATTTTAATATCTGTAGAAAGTCACTGATTTGGTGAGAATTTGGAATTCTCCAGATCTTCATAAACTATATTTTCTACTCACTTTCTCATAATCTATATAATTTCTTCCTTCCTTCTTTTCTTTATTTATTCATTTCTTCTTGTTTCTTTTCTGGATATTTTGCAACTGAAAATAATACAACAAAATTTCCCTTAACTTAATTGGTTCGCTAATATCCTTTTATTAGCCGAATCAATGAATATGCACGACTCATCAGTATATTCAGAGATCAATCCTCAATTTCCAGAACAAGAAATCTTGAAATGTCCTAGATGTGATTCAATTAATACAAAATTCTGTTACTATAACAATTACAACCTTTCTCAGCCACGCCATTTTTGTAAGAATTGTAAAAGGTATTGGACTAAAGGAGGAACTTTACGAAACATACCTGTTGGTGGCGCCTCTCGCAAAAACACTAAACGTTCTTCTTCTTCTTCAAATAGTAAACGCTCCTCAACGACGTCGTATTTATCTTCATCTTCAGCAGCACAACCAAAGTCAGAGCCTTTTCCTATACCTAATGTTGCAGTTTTTGATCAGAATAGTTCAATTCACGGGCCTTTTAGTTCGCTTTTGACATCAAACGGGCCGGAAATTGGGAATTTGTTTGAAGCTTTGAAACCTAATGTGTCCGATTCGGGCTTTGTTTCGGGCTCAGATGCAGCAGCTCAAAGTGAGAATAACAATACAGATGAATACTTGTTTCCTGTTCAGAGCGGTGAAGATTCTAACTGTTGTAATGGTTGGACTGATCTTGCTATTTACAGTGCTCCAGGTTCAAGCTTTCAGTAATTAGAAATGCCTAAAGATGATTAGAACTTGTAGCGCTACTAGTAATTAAGGAAAAACATTGATCTTTTGCTTAAAGTATAAACAATTATGCCTTAATCCAGAATTAGTTGAGATAAGCATATATGTTATATTTACTTAGTGTTTATTACTTTTAAAACTTTTTCTGTTGCATATTTTTGGGAAGTGTTGCTGATTGCATATTAGTAGTAGTATATATTTTATCTCTGGAAATTAGGTGTCAGGCCCATAACACTAGTTTTGTTTGTGTAATGCTTAATTAATACGTACATAATTGTGTGTGCTTTGAGACTTCATGTATGTGTTGTTCCGACGGAAACAGTAAATGTTGTTTGCGTATGACATATAAGTCACGAAAACTTCATTATGTATGTGTTGTTCGGACGAAAAGGATAAAATTATCTACGTGTGACCTATAGGTCATCACGAGTTTGAGCCGTGTAAATAGTCATTGATGCTTGTATTACCCAATCACATCTTCTTGGGGCGGCATGGTTCGTGCACCGAATTGCCTCTTTGAGCCGAGGGTCTCCTGGAAACAGCCTCTCTGTCCCCTCGGGGTAGAGGTAAGGTCTGCGTACATATTACCCTCCCCAGACCCCACTTGTGGGATTACATTGGGTGGTTGTTGTTGTTATTTTCTCCATCTCGAATTCCATTCGTGACTTTCTTTTCATCTTGATAGTTTTTGATGTATTACTAGCGATTATCCAAGATTTGTCCTTAGCTCCAATAATGTAGGCAAATACATACATTGTATTAGGTGCAGTACGTATGTAATGGTAGACGTTGATGCTATATATGACTACGTATTGGATTATTGTCTAAAATTAGTATATGCTGGTCATGCAACACCAGATTTGTATATACAACAACAACAATAACATCAACATAGTGAAATCCCACAAATGGAGATCTGGAGAGAGTAGTATATGCAGATCTTACTCCTACCTGATGAGAATAAAATGATTGTTTCCAATGGACCCTCGATTCAAGAAAAAATTCAAAAGAAAACGGTATTTAACACAAGCAGTAAATGTAGAACGATAAGTTACTTTTTTTTGGACAAGCAATTCATTTATATGAGAGCATGTGTAAATGAGAAAAGTATTTACGTATAAGTAGAATTAAAATTAAATATTTGATCTCTTAATTTCAGTATCTTCACCTTAACTTGGTAACAACCTAGTCAAAGATTCATCAATCGCAACTTTGAAGAGCAGTTGAAGGTTTCAAGTAATTCCCTTTAGGATATAACAAATCATGTGGACAATAATAGTTGGATACAACCATATAATCTTGACTGTTAATTTCTTCCTTGTTTTTTTCTTATTGTTTGTGTTTAAAATAAATCTACGAGATGATGGGGATAGTTTATGGGAAAAGACATTAGAGATCCCAAATTAAATATTAAAGAGTTCGATACTTGATGCAATGTCTTAGAAAGGCTAGACAGGACACCAACTTTTGCCTTATTGGTATATTCTTATCTTACCTTTTTTGTCTCCCCTTTTTGGTCCGTTTCGCTTGAAACAATTTAGCGGCGAATTTAAAATTTAAAATTTTATGGGTTCAGCCTTTAAGATTTTTAATATTGAACCTATTATATTTTTAAAGTTATAGGTTAATATTCATTTGTTGTTGCAGTTTTAGTAAATTTTTATGCATAAACTTATGAGCGGCGTCAAAAGTCATAGGTTCAATTGAACCCGTTGGAATTACACTGCATCCGCCCCTGCAACAATTAATCTACAGTATTCTTCACCAGCCCCACTCTATCAAGCGTTTGATCTCCATAGACTCCAATAATTTTGAGCGTATTCATTACTTTAAAATTTATAAATATGTATATATATTTAGTACGTTTTTATACAATCTATTAGTATCACACAAGAGTAATAGGTATAGTGATGTTCTTCCACTTACTGATAAAACTGAATCTACCATCCCAATGGTTGAATCCTTCAAATTAACAAAAACTTAAATCACGCCAAATATTTTCCCTTTTCACGTCTTCTTTTATGGTTGGGAGTGTGTGAACAAAGTAAAAGAAAAATAAGCTATGTATAAAGAGTTAAATTCTCTTAATGGTGTAAGACCTTTAATTTTGAGGAAAATCGTGCGGACTTGGTCTAAAACGGACAGAGGCGGATCCAGAATTTGAGGCTTATGGGTTCCTATCGTAATTTTAGATTAATATGCAATAATAATTGGGTCCACAGTTAGATATTTACAAATATTTAGTGAATTTCTTAATATAAATACAGGATCTATGTAAAAGTTACTGGGTTTTCGGGAACCCGAATTCTATACTCTAGGTCCGCCCCTGAAAACGGACACTATCACACTATGTTAATAGTATCTTTGGGACGTTCTAACCCAACAACTAATATCAAAGTCAAGGGTTTGGCGAAACAATATGGAAATGGTAAAGTGATAGCGTAAGGACCGACTTAGTACCTTTGCTCGTCTATGGGCCGATTCACTACCTTTACTAATATTAGCATACACAACCTCTCCTAACACACATAGAAGCTTGAGAGTCCGGAACCAAAATGTGGTTCTTTTGGACTCAAAGTACACAAATAGGTGGTAAAAAAAAAGTTATATTTTTATATATAGCGCCACAATATCTGGCGCTATACATTAACAGTAACGACACCGCTAATGTATAGCGCCAAGTATTGTGGCACTATACTGTAAAAGCTGACACGTCACAGGTATAGCGCCACAATACATTGCGCTATACATACATTTTTTAAATCCCTTCCGTCTTCTTCATCGATTCATCCTCCATTTTTTTTAACCTCTCCTCTCTTTTTGGTTCCCCACCCCATACCCGCTTCTGCCCTCCTTTTTTTTTAAAAAAATTTGGGTCCCCCCGACACATAAAACTTGAAGAACGTAGGTCCCACATTCGAGTAGAGCTTCGTGTTATTGTTGATTCACACTTCCGGAGTCAAAATTTTAATCTTTTTGCTTTCCGGAAATTCTAAATCGAGGTATTTCGATTTATTTTAAGTTGAAACATTTATAATAATGCATATTATTTGATTTGTATGTGTTCTATTTCGATTTGTGTTTTTTTTCGAAACTAGCATGTTAAATTTATATGGATTTAATATTAGTGTTTTCTAAAAAAATATAAATTTGTAAAATAAATTTGTCTGTTAATATCCTGATTTATATATATGTGTTTTCATGCCGTTTTGTCTTTTATTTGCAATTAAATTTATTTGTTGTTTATGTTTAGTTTAGATTATTTTTTAGCATAGTAAAATCTAGATCTTTTTAGCCTAGTAAAAGGTAGACCCTTTTAGCGTAGTAAAATTTAGAGCCTTGTAGCGTAGTAATGTGTAGTATTTTAGCTTAGAATTCCTTTTGTTTAAGTATCTTATACTGGTTGTTGAAAATGCAAACTTTGTACAATTAAGTTAATAATTGTATCAACACACATAATTAGTAATTTGTACGATTAAGTTATTAAAAATATGGATTTAAATTATAATAAAAACACATAATTATTAATGATAGTTTGGTGTCACTGGTCCTCAAAAT